AACCTACGTCGGGTCCACAATCCAGCCGCCCGGGCTATTTTTGGAGCCCCAAGAAGGACTCATATCACACCGTTGCTCCGCAAGCTGCATTGGGTACCAGTTTGCTTCCAAGTCCAATTCAAGGTGTTGGTTATCACCTTTAAAGCCCTACATGGCATGGGACCAGGTTACCTGAGGGACTGCTTCTTCCCCATGACGTCAACCCGTCCCACCCGATCACACAGACAGGGCATGTTCTGGACCCCCTTGGTAAAAGAGCTCCAACTAGCAGGGTCCAGAAAGCGGGCCTTCTCTGCTGTAGCCCCTGCCCTTTGAAATATCTTGCCCCTGGAGGTGAGATTGGCCCCCTCACTCTTGGCCTTCTGGAGTGATTTGAAGACCTGGCTGTGCCGTCTGGCCTGGGGTGGGGAGGGAAGACATCAGGTGTGGGTATGGCTAGCCCCTTAGAGGCCTGGTGTTTGGTGCTCTGAACCATCGGCCTCCTGGACTCTTTCTTTTTTAGTAATTGTTTTATACAGGTTTTAGGTTTTATGTAATTGTATTTTTATTTATTGTTTTAATGAGTTGTGAGCCGCCCAGAATCCCCCATTAGGGGGAGATGGGCGGGGATAAATTTAATAAATAAATAAATAATCTTTTAAAAATGCACCCTTGTTAAAATAATACTTTTAATATAATATTTTCCCATTGACTTCTCACTGATAATTATATTTCTTGTATTTTGCTTATATTTTGAAAAAAGTACTGATTGCTGGTATTTCCAGCTTCCCTATCTAAAGGGGACCAGACAGGGAAGTTCCACGTGTCATTTGCTGCCTGTCCAAGCTAGTTATGAAATCCAGTGGGGTAGAGATGAGGTCATGGAAGATAATTCTAAACATTAAAGCAAGGGCAACAGCAGTTACCATATGGTTATCAGTTTTGGTAGCATTCGCATGATGAGAAGATGTAAACAAGCCCTAAACTGTTTAGTTTCTTGTGATATCAAGGAGTCTGCACAATCATTAGTTACTTTTACACAGTTTCAAGTGGTGGACGCACTTACTTATCTTGCTGGGCTCAGAAGCTCCACAGGTTGAGTCTGGTTAGCACTTGAATGGGAGACCAGGAGGAAATTCCAGGGTTGCTGATTATACTTGTGTGTGAGTGTGTGTGCTTCCGAATTAGTCTCAACTCCTGGCAACTGCCTGGGCAAATCCATGCAGTTTTCTTGGCAACATCTTTTGGAACTGGTTTGCCCTTGCCTTCTTCCTAGGATTGAGAGAAAGTGACTGGCCCAAAGTCACTCAGCTGGCTTTCATGCCAGGCAGAATTAGAATTTACAGTCTTCTGGTTTCTAGCCTGGTGCCTTTAACCAGTACACCAAACTGGCTGTTGCAGATTATACTGAGAAATTTTTTTTAAATCCCATAAAAACAGTGGCCAACTACTTTATCGTGTTCCCAGGAGAACTCGAGGTTATATGAAAGTAGTTACCAGGATCAAATGTAATGCAAGGGACACTTTAGTTTTTGTATTTACACACAAAAGATGGGCCTCTTACAAGGTGGGTGTCTTTATATGTAGCCTGCTCATTTTTATTTGGTTCAGTCACAATTATATGTGACCTTAGTAATGAGAAAGCAAAAGCTTATTTTGCATGTGAAATAGGATTCTTATTTCTTCCTGGTTCCTTTAGCTGCTTGTACTTCCAAGAGCCAAGCAAGAGCAAATGGGTTTATTTATTTATTTAACCATATTTATACAACTCCCAGGACTTTCCAATAATGAGATTAAAAATATAGAAATCAATTACTTCTAGCCCAAACTTAGCAAGATAACAATAAATAGTAATAACATGGCAGCCCACCCATCGTAAACCAACAACAACTATAATTATCATCCATCAAAGTATGAATAAATAATCTAATCTTCAAATACCAGCATGGAAGGGGCAAGGCATCACTCCTGAGTCAGGATATTCCAAAGCATGGGTGCCATTATGGTCTTTAGGCCCCAAAACAGCATGTTTCATTGGACATGGAAATCTAGAAGTAACCAACAAGGCAACAGGAGACAGGTTTAGTAGTGCACATGAACTACTTCAGGGATGCTGCATGTTAACCAACTGTAGTTTCTGGGCAATTTTCAAAGGCTGTGGCATGTACAGCATTTTTGGTGGGGAGGGGGTTGCCTTCAAGTCAGCACTGATTCCTGGTGACTGCCTGGACAAGTCCCTGCAGTTTTCTTGGCAAGATTTTGGGAGTGCCTTGCCATTGCCTGCTTCCTAGGGCTAAAGGAGAGTGACTGGCCTAAGGTCACACAGCTGGCTTTGTGCCTAAGGTGGGACTAGAACTTAGAGTCTCCCGATTTTTAGCCTGATGCCTTAACTACTACACCAACTGGCTCTCTGTAGAGCATGTTACAGGGATCTAACTGTGTGGTGATGAGGGACTAAGTTACATTTGCTACACTTCAGGATCCAGATGGGGCCCCAAATGGCAGAATAGCCTCAGCTGGGGGAAGGCCCCCTCCATGGCTGCTACTTCCTTTTTCAGCAGAAGCTGAGAGTCCAGGGAGACCTCCAAATTCAGAACCTGCTCCTTCAAGGGGAGAATAAACCCCACAAGGGTTATCCCCCAGAGCTGGGTCTGAGCCAAGATCTTTCCGGAGAACATCTCAATTTTGCTGAGATTAGGTCTGAGCTTGTTTCTACCCATCCAGACCCCCACCGCCTTCAGATACTTGGTTAGGACTTCCATAGCATCTTGACTTGGTGTGTGGTGGCTATGTAAAACTGGGTATCATTAAAACAGCAAGTTATTTATTTTATTCATTTGAATTCATTAGCTGCCCAACTCCAGTGGACTCAAGTGCCATCAGAGGGTCCAGGGTTGGCACTGTAAAGCAGATTTACACAGAATTAAGTCCTCTTTTGGTGAGCTTGGCATTCTTCACTCTGCCCTTTAAGGCACTGCAAACACCTGCTACCTAGCTAGCAGGAAAGTATCCGCCCGGCTTCTAGACTCTGTTTTATGACTGCAATATATGCTAAGAGTTAACATATATGTGCCTGGAAGCTTCCCCCCCCATCACTCTGGAAATGACCGCGCAGGAGAAATGGTAGAGAGGAATTAATCAGTTCCACCGCGGCTCCCTCCCCGACTTCTCGTCTCGCTGCGCGCTCGCCCCGCCCCCTCTTCCCCGGCCCCCGGTTGCCGCCCGCTTTTCCTCCCGAAGCAGCAGGACGGGACCCGGGTGGGCGAGAGAAGCAGCTGCTGCTAGCGAAGCCTGCGAGGCGGTCCCGGGGGCGGGGCTTTCCAGCCTCCAAGCCCTGCCCTGTGATTCATTCCGCCGACTGCGCTGCGGCCTCTCTTTGTGCTGCTTCGAGGCGGTCGCGCCTGGAGTAGCCCTCCCCACCCTTGCGGGCCACTGGGGATCGCCCCTTGGAGCAGGATCGACGTCCGGAGGCAGCAGTTACGGGGGACGCGCCGTGATTGGTGGCTAAGTAAGAGGTGCTTTCCAGCGATTGTGGAAGTCCGGAGCCCTGACCGGGTTCGTTTCGTCTCTTCCTGGAAAGTGAGCGATCTGATCTGTGTTTCCTGCCTCCGGAAATCTGTTCCGTGCCTCTGCTTTCCAGTTCAAAGCGAAGCAAAGAAGCGGGGATCCTTTTGTCTCTTTGACCTTTGCTCCTCCTTTCTCGCCTCCCCCGCACAGTGCTCACCAGACCCCTTGGGGGCTTTTGCCACACGCCCCCCCTCCCCCACACCCATCCCGTTCCCGAGCCGTCTCTTCCTTTTTGCTCCCTCGGAAAGGCAGAATGCTGGAGGGAAAGCCTCTCCTACTGACAGCTTCCAAGCGCATCTGAGAAAGGCAGACGGAAAGAGGGACCCTCGGCTCCAGAAAGGGAGAAATGAACCCTTTTCAGCAGGGAATATTGTTGCTGCTCTTCCTCTTCCTGGAGGTAAGTAAGAGGCCAAGAGTGACGCCTGTAAGTGTAGTTCTTGACCATTTGAAAGTGTTCTACACTGCAGTGCTGTGGTGAGCGTGGGGTCTGAGGCCTGTAGAGATTGGAATTAAGCTAGGCAGCAAAGGTGGTGGTGGGGGAGACCTCAGCACCATACCCAGGATTTGAAAGAGAAGGGTTCTTTGTGCAAACCTTGTTTTCTCTTCTGTAAGAGGGAATGTTTGGTACAGTCTGAAGTTATTTGGCTCACATATGGTTTGCCATCTCAGACCAGATTTTATATGTATATAATTTTCCAATGATTAATTCTTTCTTTCTGTCCCTGAAAAGTAGCCATGGGAAATTTAATGAAGCCAGGAAAGGGCTACTTAACGTTTTGAGGCAATTTTTCTCCACCAATTCCCGTACAAGGAATAAGAAGGCATTGGTTAAGATTCCAGTTTGCCTTGCACGGCTGTTTTACTGTTGTTTCCAAGTTGCCTGCAATGCACATCTTGGCCTTGAACAGTGAGTGTAACTATGTGGCCACTCTGTAACTCAATAAAATTTCAGTGTGAAATTATAGAGAAAATAGTTACCCCCCCCCCCCTATATGTGTGTGTTGTTTTTAACAACACTGGAGCTATTTCTCTTTTTTCCCACCCTGGATTGTTAAATTTTGGTGTATAGAGAGAGCACAAGGTAACTAGATGTTGAAGAAGAATATCATACACGCTGCTTGAGTCTCCAGGAGCCATTCTGATTATGAAAGAATGTCTCCCTGAGTAAAGTATTTCCTGTAGGGAAGTTCACAATCACATTTGTATGTTATAAAACCCCCTAAAGAGGCCGAGTCCTGAATGGGCCAAAGGCCCTCCTTACATTAAGAGCTGTGTGTATATAATCCATATGTCTGGGGAGCGTACTGCTAGAACAGCCCATTTGGCAGTGAAGTGTCTTTCCCCCATAGGAATAGCTGTGAGGGTGTGGCCATTGTGCATGTTAAGGGTGAAGTTAACACGATTGTTCTCATGCCTGCCCTCATGTGAGTTGCAACATATGCTCAGGGTTGCTGTACTTGTTTCGGTATGCCCTTTCTTAATACCAGCCTCATAAATTTCTCCCAAAGGCTCAGTTATATAAGTTAGATCCAGCAGGTTTTCATTAGAAAGATCTTGGACCTTCTATATGCTGAAAAGCTCTGTTTGCAATTTCAGAAAAGTAAAGATAGGTGGTAATTGTGCAAGCATGCTTATGTTCAGGGCCATACTTAGACTTTGCAAAGCCAAGATAAAAGGCTAAATTCTGAGCTAACCTGACATACCCTAAGGCTGAATGGAAATGAGCAGCCAGGTCTGTTCAGGTCAGTTCCTAGCCTGCACTTTTAGTGCAAATGAATGGATTGTTTGAACTCAGAGGCTACCATGAAACTGTTCTTTTCAAAGAGGAAAAATTAATGGGAGAAGGGTCAGCTAGCCTTTCTTCACCACTTTTTTTTTTTTACTATTCCAGTGGCCTCATGAGTTTTTCTCTGTTTTAGGAAGAGTGAGAGGGCGAACACTTAAAAACACACACACATTTCATGGTTACCTGGAAGTAATTCTTGCCACATTCATTAAGTTGAGGGTCTCTGTACAAAATGAGTGCAGAGTAGTGGTGTCTCTTTAAATATAACAAGTTGTAGCTGCCAAAGAAGAAAGGGGACAGAGGGGATGATGAAGAAGTCTCTCAAATGGACTTTGATGGTGCAGGTGCAGGTGCAGTTGGCATTTTGCTTTTTGACCCTCTCGATGGATGCTCCTGGCCCGAACTATTCAAAGTTTGGATCTGACACCTGGTTGACATTCAGCCCTAGAGAGCAACTGTGTTTTATTTTTTAATGGAAGTGAGAAAATCATGCAAAAAAGAGAGGAAAAAGACATTACACTGTCTTTCTTTAGTGATGCAACATTAGGGAAGATTTCCTGTTCACAAATCCATGTGGTTCTGTGATTCTCTTCTGTTTTCATTTTGGATTTTTTGTTGAATTGAACAGATTTATTATGTAATAGAAACTTCTGCCTTTCCTTTGACTTTTTGACATCTTTGCAAAAATTAGCTATTCCTTAAACATTTTTTTTTTTAAATTTGAGAGGAAAATGTTTAGAATAATTACATAGGCTAATTCCACCTCTCCCACTCTCCAGTTAAGATGGCAGCTTGGTTTTAGAGAAGCCCTGAAATACCTCCCTGATACCTAGGCATTACTAGGACATTATAAGCAATATCTGGTTTAGAACTCTCGCTTTGAATTCCTGCATATGGTGCTGAATTTAGTTGCAGCATATTCTCCCTGTTGGGAAAAAGACCTGACTGGAGAATAGTCTGTCAGTTTCACTCTCTTCCCAGGGTAATGTTTTTTCCTTTCGATGAATTTTGGTAAATGTATGAATTTTGGCTCAGAATGAACTGAATGAAAACATAATGTTTATTTAGCACATGATGCATTAAATCATATGGCAAGTGATGATGATTTAACCTAATGCAGAACCTAGTCACAGAAAGGACCATGTCATAGTAGGATATTTGAATCAAATGCAGAAACCCAAATTCTGTTTTCTGTTTTGGGAAATCACCAGTGCTTCACTGGGAGTTGGGTAGCATATAAATTTAATATATTATTGTTATTTTTACTGAGATGCAAGGATATTTCTAAGGCAATCTCACTAGTCTCAAGTTCCCTGTTTTGTAAAATAGAGATCTCAGAAAAGGTTCTCATCCGAGAAACATTTATTTTACTTTGCTGTACTTCCTAAGCTTGGCAACTATTGATTTGCCCTTTTCCTTCCTCTGCCTTTAAACTAAGAACATCAGAAAATATAGCCATGGATTGTAGGGAAAACTGCTTGACAGAGCAATAAAAGATTAAGGTTGCAATGTACAATCCAACTAGGAGAAGCCTTGCAACATTCCAATAGGCTTGGAGGGGTTTATAAATAGAGGTTTTTAGCACAAGTTATTGAGGCTTCATCCACATGTGTTGCTTTTTTTGTCTCTTCTACTAGAATTTCTTTTCATCTAGGCTTTCTGCACATCTGGCATCATTAAGGAGTCATTTTTTAAAGCCAGGGATCCAGGCTTCCAGGCTGACTCTAGTGCTCTTTTAGGATGGATTTTTGGACTTTTCATGTTTATTTGTGACTAAGTTGTTCCCTGAGTATTGTGAGAAACAAACCTCAAGTTCCAAAGAATTAAGACAAAAATCCAATGAAGCAGCAAGGCATGGCCATTTATTAAAAGAGTACGTTGTTGCAACAGTGGGTGTCCAGCAAGTAGGCACACCTTGTGATAGGATACGTGCACTTTTTATTCCCTATGCCCAAGCGAAAAGACCCTCCTCCATTTCCCCATTGATTAGGTACTCAGGAGTTTACAACCTATCCGATATGCTTAATACAACTCATGGAAGTCCCACCTTAGTTTACATCTCCCATTACCCTTATTTTAGAAGCCCCTTTCCCATGTTTATTTATTTCCTTCTATGGCAGTTTTCGACATTAGCAGTATGTGCTCAGTGAGGTGGTTTCAGATCTTGTGCAACTATTACAAAACCGACTCAGGTCGGTTTGTTAGCTCTCTATTCGGAGACTCACGTACACAGGCTTCCTTACATATTACCACATCTTCTGCATTTCAGCTCTTCTTATTTTAAGCAATCCAGTACTACTTTATGCTAAGACCCCCTTATGCAATTAAGGACTAGTAACTTGATTGTGTCACTATATATGTTTTGCTTAGAAAATCAGGGGCCTGGAAGATCCCCTTTCACTACTAGTTGCTCATTAGAGTTTATTTTAAAGCATATATGGTCAAATTAGCTTACTTGCAAAAACAACACTTTTATCATTTCTCACAATGTGAGACTGTGTACTAGCAAAATGTTGATCAGAGTAGGGAGCAGGGATGTGAAGAAGGTGGACATGTATGCTACTCTGGCTTGAACATTCAAATTCAAGGATGGAAAGCAGGCTTTGACTTTTCTTCATATAGATGATCATCTTTCACTGGTATGAGACTAATTAAAGGGAATATATGAGGATGGATTTATATCCCCACCTCAGTGACCCTAAGCGCTTAGCTTTTTTTCCTACGGACATAGCAAACCCATCATCCAGTTTCTTCGTTAATTCAAGATTCTTCTCCCAAGGGCATAGTCATCCCTGCCACAAAATTTGCACATCCATCAGCCTCATTAATGTGCACATTCAATGGAATCCTGGATCTGTGAAAGTTCTACTGCCCTGTATAAGTCTTGTTTATAATAGAGTGTTGCGAATATTTATTTATGTAATTATTTATTAAATTTGTATGCTGCCCATCTCGCCCAATGGGAGATTCTGGGCAGCTCACAAAGTAAAACCCACAAACAATTAAAAAAGAAAGACCCGCATTAATTAATTAAAAATAATTAATTAATTAAAAATCTTAAGGCTTAAAATTAATTAATTAACAAGTCAAGCTATAAAAACAAATCCTATACATAAAAACTAAAAACTAAAATATTCCCATAAAAGTTGGCAAGAATATGGGGATACATTTCTAATGTACAACTGGAGAATCTTTTTAGTTAAGGGGTAAATTATTTTCTTTTACAACAACAATTTTTTTTGGAACATACGTAAATCAAATTTCCATTATTCATAATTGACTGTTCTAACTGGCAGCAGCATTCTGTGGTTCCAGACAGAATTCTTTCTTAGCCCTACCTAAACATACCAAAGATTGAACCTTCTTGCACAAATTGCATGCAAAATGTGTGTTTCTTAGGTTCCAGCTTTGCTTTGATAGCACTTAAAAAAATAGATACAATATTCTCTGAACATTTCATTGTTTTGGTTGTTTTCATGAACAAAAAGTAGATGAAGCATAATAACTTTTTCCAGTGTTTAATACTGAGCAAGCCATAACTTTCATCTCTAGATGTTAGAGATCTTTCAACCTTGGCATGTGATAAATTAAAAGTAACATATACATGCTGA